GGATGCTGCGTTTGAGGAGCGTTGGAAATCCCTTAACACCACTGTGCAGTATAAAATTTTACTAAATAGTGACCAGGAAGTGATGAGTGACGGTTTCAAACACAACCTAAAGTCCAGTAGTTTCAACATGTTCATGAGAAATTTTGCTGACAGACACGTTCGGTTACATTATCACCTGCCTTTTGGCAGCGGCTTAATTCAGTTTACAACTATTGTTTTTATTTTTTTAACATTATAACTCGAGCACAGGATCAATAAAAGCCTGCAGGCTGCAGAAGCTGTGTCTCATTTGTTGCTCCGGTTGGCGGTGTGAGGCTCTTCATGAGACTTTCGTCAGAACTCCTCTTCGTCTGAAGAGGAGCTCAGAGCTCTGAACGTCGGCTGGTGAAGGCAACGAGCTGCAGTGCTGCGGTCTGCGAGGCGTTTTCTGTCGGTCAGAGATTTATCCACGCTGCGGCTCAGAGCCTGCTGCCATTTTGGATGTGGAAGTGTTTTTGTTTTGGCTGCCAAAACGTCTTCTTGTTCATCTGGAGATCATCCTGAAACCCCCACTGGGTGTTTCATGGCTCAGCAGGTCCTTTAGAGTAAAATGTGATTTTTTTATTTTTTAGGTTAAATTTCATAAGCAAATATTTGCTTCTTCTTTTTTCTACGTTTAGTGAATATTTTAAGCTTGTTTTTTTTTTTTTTTTTACTTAAAATTTACCTCAAAAAGCGTCAAAAGAAGTAAATTTCGTGCACACTTTTTTATTTTTCCAGTCTATCGGTGCTCCAGACTTTATAAAGTTACGTAAATAGTTTTAAAATGGAGAAATTTAAAGTTTGGGAGCCTTTCAGTTCAGATTTAGCTCATTTTTGAGTTTTAGTGTAGGAATCTAACCCCTCTGTGTGCACAGGACCAAAACTTTGGCCTGTCGCGATAAACAATAAGTCAATTAATCGCATGATAAATGAAAATTATCGACCTCATTTATATTTATCGGCTTTTATCGTTTCATCGTGTCTCTCTCTTTCTACTTCTAAGCTGAGAAGCTAAGCTACGAGCTAAGCTAACAGGCCGACTTCAGGAAAAAAACCTCCGTCTTGTCGAAGCTCCAAAATTCACGATTGAAACGCTCGCTCCCTCACTATCCATCCTTCAGTTTAAACAGTCTCGTACTGCCACTGGTGGTCAAAAACCGGTACTACACTCAAAACAAAATTAACCAACATTTCTTCTTAAATTTGACAATATTTACTAATTATTGTCAGATTTCAAACAATGTTATCGTTTATCGCAATAATTTCTGAGACAATTAATCTCCCAGTAAAATTTGTTATCGTGACAGGCCTACACTACATCCCAGTAAACGTGTTTCTTGTTTGAAGCTGTAAAATGATCTGTTGGGTCAAAACGTTCGGTCCAACTCGAACCCGTTGGGTTGTTTGGATGATTTCATCGAAGACGGATCTCAAAGTTTGTGTTTTTGTGAATGTTTAGAAGGAAGGCCGTCGTCACCGCACGCGTTCATTGGCACGCGGCGGCCGGAGGACCTGGTCAGCATGGAAACGGTTCTGGTTCCCACGGCGATGGCTCAGGTTCTGCTCTAAGCCTGAGTCTTTTTTCCCCGTCCGTCGTCGTTCCCACCTGTGAATGTAAATAAAGCATGAGACGCTGTCGTTCGGTGTTCAACGAAGGGTCGGTGAGTCTGATTTCCTCCCCTGGAGCTCATGTTTCCGTTTTGTTTTTATTTTTTTATCAATGCGAATGAAGGAAATGGTTTTATTTAACGCGGGTCTGTTCCAGAGACTCGAGTCTTTTCCACGTGCGGGCGGGGGCCACGACGGGTGCTTCGTCGCTCACCGCCTCGATAAATCTCACCAAGGACATGTTTGTGAGCTTCTCATTTAGAGCGGGGGTTACGGAGGATCAAAATAAACGTGTTTTGAAAGGTTTTCTGTGTCTCGGCCTCATTTCCTGGAACTTTACATTTTATCAAACCGTTGATCGACGCTTCGATCAAACCTTGAACGTTATGAGCGATCGGGATGACTCTCAGGTACTACCACACCAGATTTGAGCTCAAAATCTGTTTAATTGGTTAAATTATAGCAGTTTGCCTGTTTTCCTAGATTAATCGGCTGTGGCAGCCATCGTGTATTTTGCTAACGAACACAAGAACACAGGCCAAATTATCTTATCTACAAAGCTGACATCCAGTTTGTGTTGGTGTTTTAATATAATTTATTGTTTGTGTCACAATCGGGACATTCTGCAGCAACAGTTCAACTGTTGGCACAAAACATGTGGGGGTCTCCTGAGGCCCTGGGGGGACAGATTCCTGTTCTGACCCAGTTCTGATCATCTGATGTGTAATTCTGATCATCCAGTTGTGTTCGTTAGATTAAAATAAACATCGTCTGAGCAGCCGAGGAGCGTGGATGGTTCAGTTTACTCACCCAGAAATTAGCCATGGCCCAGTGACTAAATCATGTTTATTTGTGCAGCAGAACATGAAGGTTCATGCATGATCCGTAACAGGGCCGCAAGCGTAGCTACAGATTGTGCAGCTAGAGCTCATGTTTCTGTTATATTTAATACAAATTAAAACAAAAATTAAAAAGAAAAAGCATCACGTTAAATATTTTAATCAAGTTTTGGCTTTAGAAATCATCAGATTAATAAAACTAAAAACAGGAGAAATATAAATTAAAATTGTATAAATATTAATTGTCCAATCTTTTTGTTGAATGCAAAAACTATAGCTAAAGCTAAATAATAGAATGATAGCTAGTAGCTAAAAGTAGCAAAGCTGTAGCTAGAAGTAAAAATTAGTAGCACAGCAGTTAGTAGCTAAAAATAGCAGAATGCTAACTACAAGTTAAAAGAAGCGGCTTAAAATTACAATTAGCAGAATGCTAGTTAAATGCTAAAAGTAGCAAAATGAAAGGTAAAATAAACATTTTTAGCTATAAGCTAAAATAAGCAAAATAATAGTGGAGTTTAAAATGGTAAAATGTAACTAGAAAATAAAAATAGAATGGTTGCTGATAGCTAAACGTACCAAAACTTTAGCAACAGTTAAAATTAACTAACAATAGCTGGAAGAAATCAGTTACAAAACTGTTGCTAGAAGTAAAACAATTAGAAGAAAGAAAAAAAAGTAAAATCATAGAGGTTAAAATTTGCAGAATTGTAGCTAATAAATTCAATTCGGTTTATTTCTAAAGCTCCAAGTCACAACAGAAGTCGTCTCAGGGACTGAACAGAAACATTCAAATATAAAAATAATAACTGAACATTATTTATCTGAGGAGCAGCTTTGAGTTTAACTCCATCACAGAACTCTCATCTTGAGCGAGCATGAAGGCGACAGTGGAAAGAAAAACTCCCTCATGAGTAAGAAACCTTTAGCAGAACCAGGATCAGGACAAGCGGACCATCTGCTTCGACCGGCTGGGTTTGGTAAGAACAGATACACAATGGCAGGCCAAGAATCACATGTCAAGATAGAAATAGTATCAAATGAAAATATTCAATTTTAATCATTCATTTGAGGAAATGAGGTCAATTTGTCCTCTAGTAGTCTAAGTCTATAGCAGCATGACAAGCCGACCCCAACTATAGGATTCATCAAAAAGGAAAGTCTTAAAACTGGACAATGTGTCAGTCTCACGGACAGAAACTGGACGTTGGTTCCACAAGAGAGGAGCCTGACAACTGGAAGATCTTTCTCCCATTCTGCTTTTTGGAAGCTCTAGGAACTGCGAGTAAACCTGCAGTCTGAGAGCGAAGTGCTCTGTTAGTAAAATATGGAACAATAAGATCTGTAATATAAGATGGAGATAGGCTGTTATAGCTAAAAGTAACAGAACAGTAACTGAAAGCTAAAAGTAGATAATGGAAAGTTAAGTTACCGAAGTCCATGCTCAATAATCCAGGTATAAAATCCAACAATGTTCAATCAGATTACCTGACTATACCTGTTGGTAGGTTAAGGTAGAGAATTGTAGCCAATTGCTAAAAGTAGCAAAAGTGTAGTTAGAAGTACGAATATGCAGAATATTAGCTAAAAATAGGAACATTTTGGCTATAAAGGTAGCAAAAAGGTACTATAAGTATCTACGGTAAATGAATGCTAAAGTAGTAAAAAGTAGCACATTTGTAGCCAGAAGATGAACAGAATAGTAGCTAAAAGCTCATGAATAGAATTAATATATACATTTCTACAAAATATAAACAAATAAATTTAAACTATGCACAGTCCATATGTCAAACATTACCTGAATATTGCAAAGAGCATAATTAAAGATACTCTAACTTCATGAAAATCGGTTAAAAAAAATTCATAAAGTCAGAAACAAAATGCATTTAAAAAAATTATCTTACAATGGTCAAGTCCTGAAATAAAAATTTGAAAGTAAAATTTATTACTGCCTGCCGACTACCATGTTATGAGAGTTCTGCGACGGAGTTAAATTCAAAGAGGTATGTTCCTCAGATAAATACCGTTAAATTATTATTTTTATATATGAATGTTTCTGTTCAGTGCCCTGCCCTGAGATGACTTCCGTTGTGACTTGGTGCTGTTTAAATAAACTGAATTGAATGTTTGTCCACCCATGGAAACAGCCAAAATAACAGAAAATGTACTAAATAAATATGCAGGAAAAAGTGCTTTGTTTACATTGAAGGCATACCCGCATTTCAGAATTAAAATGAGTCAAACTAAAACAGTCTTAAAAATATTTCCAAAAACTGTCCAAAATGGTTTTAAAGTTATTTACAACATCCACTATAAACCTTGAACGAGTGTGATGTGACGATTAGTTAAAAATTAGTTTTTCAAACTCCATGTGAAGCCCTGATTTAATAGATCCGCACCATTTGTTTACTGGCGAAGGTTACAGCCTACTATGTGGACGGAGTCTGCGCTTGTTTCTCCCGGATCATGCGCCGTTGCATAAATAAGGAGCGAAGCCATCTGCAGAAGCTTCACAGCCGGGGTGCTCGTGACGTAGGTGTGGGAAAGTACACACAGCAGCAGCGTCGCGGTGCTGCAGCGACCTGAAAACAGGACACACTTCTACCGTGGACGGCTCATGACACTCTCATAGAAACCCGAAGTAAGTCCCAACCCGGTGCTTACCGGCAGTCTGTCCGGAAAACACTTATCAATAAGGCTATTTCCTGCAAATAAGCGTTCATTACCTAACGCTAGCCTGAAGGGCTCCGGCTATTTCCTAGTGTACGGATGCCGTTGTTGGCTAACTAGCTTCTCGCTGCTTTGTGAGTCGAGAGCCCCTTGAAATATTCTACACCTGTTTTAAATTAAATGTGTCACGAATAAAATTATCACGTTTCCCCATGACATTACAAATCTGTGTATAATTCAGTGCGGATATAAAATAAATGAATCCCGGGTTGTAGCCCTGCCCTTGATAGCTTCGTTTAGCTAGTCTGTGTTGACATCGTTCTTTCACTTTAAAACCTCAAAGCTTTGTGCCCACTTTATTTATTTGTTGGGGTTCCAGCCTGTTACAGTCATGGAGAAACCTCCGTTCAAGCAGAACCACAGCTGCGGGGACTGGGAGCTGAAGGAGCGGCTGGGGATGGGAGGCTTCGCCCATGTTTACCTCTACCAGCACCGGGTGAGTGTCGCCGGAAGTCCCGCTCACTTTCACTTTGAACCGATTTATCGAACCGGCCTGCGACTATCGATCAGTTTTAACCAAACAAGCTGTTCAACAGTGAGGAGATCATTTGTTTTATTAGATAAAAATGGGTAGTTTAAGAAAAATAATGTATTTTCACTGGATTCAGAGCGTTTACATCCCTTTATATAGCAAATGGAGTTAATTGAGTATATTTGAGTAATTGAAGTTGTTCTCGCCTGCGTTGTATTAAAACCAGTTCACTGGAGACAGATGAGCATATTGACACTTAAAGTGCTTTGATTTTGTGGTAGCGTTGCGTGCAGACATTTATTAACTTGTGAATCATTGAAAATCCTCTAATACTAAACACGTAAATTCACCTGTAGGATACTCGACAAAGAAGAGAACGCCAAAAGAAACTTCAAGATGATTGTATAAATACAACACTGCCTTTTAAAAATGTACGCGTCTGTTTAAATAAGATGATTTCTGTACAACACTTCCAGTTTTTGTTTTTTTCTGCATTGTTCAGTAATTTAGAAAAATATAAATCTGATCTTCCCTCTTTGAAAAACTCATTTGTTTACTCAACATTTCTGAGGATTTTTTTCTCCCTGTCCTTTATCATAACCGTATCACTTTAATTTCACGTTTTCAAAGATATGCAACTCTATTTGTTTGTTTTTTTGAGCTGTGATTAATAAATAAATACTTTGTTTTTGTAGGAAACTCTTGAAAAACTTGCGGTGAAAATGTGCCGCCTGGAGCTCACACCAAGAAACAAGGACAGATGGAGCAAAGAAATACAGATCATGAAAAAGTTTGTACTCAAATAGAGCAATTAAAATAGTTTTTGTTCTTCTAATGTTTAGTAGCAGCTGACCGCATTAAATAACTCTGAGTGATGTCATCACGAGTCGCCCTTCTTGCCCTCAGGCTGGATCATATTAACGTTGTGACGGCTCAGGACGTCCCGGAGGAAATCCAACACAACGCCTTAAACGATCTTCCACTGCTGGCCATGGAGTACTGCTCCAGAGGGGACCTGAGAAATGTGAGGAGCTCTGACTCTTCTTTGGTTTAATGCTTGAAATTGTCACATTTGTCCATAAAAGTCCCTGAATCTTTTTACAACTCATAGATGGACGTAGTTATCTGAACTGGGCTGACTGGTTTAACTTTCCTTCAGGGAAGACGCTGATCGTTTGTTTGATCATCAGTTCATACAAATCGGCCTGTGAAGAGAAACAAAACAATGTTTTTTATTTGTTGGCTATTAACCAGTCTTACACACTTTGCGTCATCATCTTGTTTCTTAAATAGACTTGTTGATCATTAAATGTAAACCCCTGTGTTTTCTCATATTTTTTTCATGCAATTTCATTTTATCATATGAGATGATAAAATACAAAATAGAGGATTTTCCTTAAAAACAATTAAAACTGCGAGATATGCCCAGAAAAATAACAACTTTAGGGACAAAATAAAAACAATTGGCATGTAGACATAAAACTTCTGACGTTAGAAACGACAGCTAAAGTGCATTAGCATATCATTAAACTAATAAAAATACAAGTTCTGACATTCTCATTTTACACAATATTTTAAATTATTGTGCTTTTATAATTTATATGCTCTGTGGTCAGGGCAGGAGTCTTGTATCACTGAGGCTGCAAGTTTGAGCCCAGGTAGTTGCTGTTAGCATGACAGACTAGTTGCTGTTAGCATGACAGACTAGTTGCTGTTAGCATGACAGACTAGTTGCTGTTAGCATCAGAGACTAGTTGCTGTTAGCATCAGAGGCTAGTTGCTGTT